CCCCAAAACCCCAAAACCCCAAAACCCCAAAACCCCGATTTTAGAGGGAAGAATTGTTATATAAAATTATCAAACATGCTAGATGGGTTTAAGAAAACTACAATGGAGGACTACAATATTTCTCCTCACAAAAGCCAAATACAAGGTAAGACTTTGCAAATCCATCGCTAAACTTTAGGAATGAACTCAAGCCTGGAGATGACTGAGGAGCAAAAGTTAGCTGTGATGGACACCACCAGAGATCACTGGGTTCCTAACAAAAGTGCCAAACAATGTAACAAATGTCTTAAGGAATTCAACTTCTTTCGTAGAAGGCATCATTGCCGGATCTGAGGTAATGTGTTCTGTTCAAACTGCTGCAATACGAAGAAAAATCATAAAATTTTTAATGGTAAAAAGAATAAAAAGACTCTAAAGAAAGCAAGAAGAAGCAAAGGAAGCACTTCCATCAGGATATGTGAAAAGTAACCTTTAATACCTCTAATTTCGCCATAGGTGCCTCGAACAATACACACAGCTGCAAGAGATGGTTGAAGAGAAAATGAGAAGAAAATAATGATAAGGTTAGCAGCACTCAGATATTCAATCAGAGAATGTTCTCGTCATTCCGAGAAAGCATGAATAATTTCAGAGACGAAGCTGATAGTTTTAAGAATTCCTCATCTCAGAGTGTGAGTAGCCGTGATTTGGACTTTTCAATTACACCAACAAGTAAGATTTGTCAGTCTTCTATTTCCAACATAATCCGATGATATAGATCAAAACAGCTCTAAAATTGATTCTGAGAGATTTAACAAGAATGGAAATGAAGAGGAAAGGAGATCAAACTCCCTATCGAATCTTGCTTCAGATGTTGAGGTTGAGAAGAGACTCTCAGATACCTCCCAGATCACTAAACCTAGAGAGGATCGTATCTTGAAACTTATCTCCCACGAGAGCAATAAAGATACGGGTGAAGAATCCATAGCAGACCCTGGTCTCTCCAAAGTAAGGTCTGAGATAGTAGTAAGCAAATCGATTAGAAAGGAAATTGAGGAATATTTGTACAACACCCATATCGATGAGTATAACAGGAACCAAGAGATAAATGATTGGAATCCTAAGAAAAGGGAGCTATTCAATGACCTTGATAGGCTGATCGACTACCATGTTCATGAAATAGTCGACCATATTTTTCAGGAGGAAGAACTCCAAGAAATTTTCAAGAATCAAAATAAGAATAATGAAGAAATCTGGAAAAAGAGATTCCTGGAATATATCATTAAGGCAATCCGTCTTGTGAAGCCGAGCGAGAGGTTAATGAAGGATACCATGAACATCAACGACTATGTAATGATCAACCTTATTGATCATGAGAATGATAAATAAATGTAGCTATATCAATGGATGAGTCATAAAGAATAATATCGCTGATAGGAGAATGAGATCTGAGATAAAATAACCCCAAAATATTACTTATTGGGAACTCTGTCGGATTTACACAAGAAGACACTTGAGCTGATATCGAAACATTAGTCAAGCAAGAAGAGCATTATACTGATATATTAATGGAACGAATAAGCCAAGTCAAGCCAGATGTCATCATACTTGAAAAGGATATCTCAAGAGCTATTCTTGTTAAAATCAAGAATCTGAAAATTACTGTTATAACTAATGTGGAAAGAAGCTCTATTGAGAAAATAGCACGATCTACAGAAACTCTGATTATCCCGTCAGTGAACCTCATCCAGAAGAAAACAGTGCTGGGAAGCTGAAAGAAGTTTTATGTCAAGAAAGGCTCTACCAAGGTCATGAAGGAAAAGAGTAAAATCATGACTATGAACCAAAACCTGATCTATTTTGATGGCTGTAAGCCCTGGTATGGTTCTACCATTTGCCTGAGCGGGCCTGACCCCTCAGCCTTAGAAATCATTAGTAAATATCTAAAACAGGCTTTAAAATATTGCCGTGATCTAGTACTTGAGAGAGAGTATCTTTTCGTCTCTGATGCAGACTCTGAAGATAAGATGAACACCCCATTCTTGCTCCCAAAGGTAGGAATTGGGAAGTTTTCCCTAAAATATGTCTCAGCAGTCATAAAAAGAAAGAAGAACAGCCAGAATCCAGACGGTGACGAAGAAGAAAATGATGACTCTGATGAGAATGAAGAGAGCAACTGAGAAGAAAGAATCGGAATGGGCGAAGCCCAAGTCCGTAAAAAGATGGAGAAAATGTGTGGAAAACCCAATAAGAATTACGTCGAGTTTTATGACAACGAGGATATCACTCTCGGTGCCTTCTTGAGGAAAATGTGCAACGAAGCAAATGAGAATTGACGGTTTTGTAAAAAGAAAAACTTGAATGTAAGTCCTGGCTTCTTGGTGACAAGATTGACAGTTTTGTATAGCATGTAACCAACTTTTATCACGGGGAAGGTGTAATAGAGATCTCTATTTCTGAAGCTAATAAAACTCATACTCAACTCACCTTTGCTGAAAAAGAAATGGAAAAGAGGAAAAGGTAGGGATTGAGGTAAATTTTAGTGACAAAAATTCGAGTAAGAAAGAAAAGATTGTTGACTCTTCAAGTCCAATTACAATGTCTCAAGAAAGTAAGCTTAATCCTTGAGTATGACTAATCCCTTCAGTGTTGTGAAAAGAAAACCAAAATAAAGATAGGAATTCAAACGAAGAGGTTAAAAGACACTGTGATAAGAAAATAATTGGGCAAAGTATTCCAAATTACCTAAATCTTTATAGAAAAGAGCTTAGTCGAACTTCAGGAGTACTCATTTGCTAAATTCTTGCAACAATATTTCTATAACCCAAACCTTCTTCTGCAATACACTGATGAAGAAGTTGAGGATGAAAATCTGTATGAGTCTTCCTCAAGCAACAGTTCAAGCCCACTCGACTCTATCCAGTCAGAAAGGAAGATACATCGAGACTTGATCAGGACTTTTGCTCTTGGGGATTATAGGATAAAGGTCAAGTATAAAAAGATAGATACATATACTATTGATATTGTCAAATTTAGAGAAATTGATAACTCAAGTTACCTCGATAGCTTGAGTCATAAAGAGCTAGAGCTAATCAGAGAAAACTTCTCTGTCTGAGCCTCTGATATCAGTAATGAATTCCAGAAGATCAAGTTTGGGCTGGAAAAGATCCTAGATATTCCAAACTCTGGGGCTGACATTTTTAGTGTCAAAAATAGGCTCAGAGCTAATATTAGAGAGTCTTCTTTCCGAAGTAGCCGCATTCTTCAAAATGAACTTAATTTCAGAAGTTACTTTGAAGATACCCAAGACCTATTGTTGAATGCTGAGAATGATTTTGATAAGTTTAAAGAAGATTCCTTCCTAGAGATAGATAAATTTGTCAATCTGGAGGAACGAAATGTGTTACACCTCTCAATGCTTAGGAAAAAGATCTTGATTCAGATATTCAACTATACATGTATAATCTTCAAAAGTAAACGGCTTCTTAAGAGAATCACAGAGACTTTGTATAAGCTTGAGCCATGGCAGAAGCAAAAGAAGGTCAAGAAGGAAAGCCATAACAGAAATGAAAACTCTACTTCCCTGATAAAAGATAGAGAGCCTTCTGATGTTGATAATAGGATCCCTATGACTCCAAGTGGAAGGACACGCACAACATATGATATTAAGCCTCTATCAGATTTTTCTATGGCTGTAAGGCCTGATTCACCTGAAAAAGATAAAAAAGTTTCAAACTTAAAATCTCTCAAAGGTAAAATATAAACTAATTTCTAGAACTTGCTGGAAGACATAAGGCCCGAACCTCCTCAATCGATGTGATTATCGAGGAGAATGAGCACATGCTTGATGAAGAAACTGTCAGCAATCAGGACAGGGATAAATCTCTAGATGTAAAATCAGAGTACAATGAAATATTCCCTTCTATCAAGATCGATCTCGAAGATGTTAAAAAGTTAGTCAAAGTTCAACCAAAGACTGATAAAATTGAAGTTAGAAACTTCAGTCCTCCTTCTGATGAAGAAGCAAAGGCAGAAATTTTTGGAGAGCTCCTAGCATCCCTTGAAGGTGAAGAATCTACTTTCCTAGATAATGGAAACTTTAAAGAGCTCCAGAGCGTACTCTTATCTCTAAAAACAGGGATTAACAACATCTCGATTCCGATTCATAGATATGATGTGGGGTCTATTATTGCATACAGCTTGAGTACGAATTGATATTACGAAGGACTAGCAAGACAGAATTATATGGAATTCCAGTCCAAATTTGACCACAGTTCGGGTGAAGAGATGGACATCAACAGTAAACTCCATACAGCAAGTAAGATGAGCTCCTCCCCCACTAAGGGTCCTAAAGATTACGTTGAGAAAAGAGATGGAGTTAGTAGCCGCAAAGATGTCAGGCCAAATTCTAATAACAAGCGGGATACCAAGAAGAAAGAAATGATAGTGCTGAATGATAAGACTGATGTACTGGATAGTGAGCATCAGCCACATCATATAGAGAGTGAATTTCTGTCTTATGAGAAGATCAACTTTAAAATGAAATGGAGTACGGTTAATAAGGAGATTAAAATGAAGATTGACAAGAACAACACTAAATTAGATAGCATTGAAAGTGATGTTCAAGAGTATTGACATAAAGATAAAAATATTGATGAACTAATTCTTCCTTCTTACTCTAAAAATTTCCTAGATGATGAAAATATTGTAAATAACTACCTTCAACTTAATGAGATTAAGAGATCACTTGAGTTGAATTCAACTCAAAGCGGTCCAAAGACGAAGAGGAACAAAAATGATGTGAACTTGGATTCTATTTCAAATAATAATTATCATATTCCTGCCCCAACACTCCAACTAACGAAGGCTTATTCAGCGAAAGGCAATACAACTCGGCAGACTATGGATAAGTCAATAAGTAAGAACTCGAGCATGATTCCTGATTTGGTGATAACACCTATGCAGACCCCTGTGAACCAGCTTACAGAGAAATATAAGAGCAAAAAGGTTGCTGATATCTTAAAAGATGATCATCTTGATTTTGAAGTAACCATCTATTTCCCCAAGAAATTTGAAGCATTGAGGAAGTTCTACTGAGGAAGCCATGAAGATTTTATCAAAAGTATTATGAAGACCTCTCATTGGCATGACAATAGTGGAGGGAAAACAAATTCTCCCTTCTTCAAGTCGGGTGATCAAAAATATATATTCAAAGAGGTAAATCGAGGGGATATCAGAATGTTCACTGATTTCACACCTAGGTATTTCGATTATTTATGAAAATCCTTTTTCCATAACTTCCCTTGTGCCTTGGCAAAGATCTTGGGAGCTTACAAAGTCACTATCAAGACTAATGGAAGGAAGAATAGTCTCACTGAGAAGTATTATGTGATAATTGAGAATATCAATTATGGGATCACAGATGAGACTCATATAATTAGATATGATCTAAAAGGCTCTACCAGGAACAGATTTATTAGAGTAGAAGAACCTCTTGGCCCAAGAATTGGAGCAGCTCCTGTGTGACTAGATACCAACTTTTTATTGGATAATAAATCAAGACCGATGGCACTGAAGAATGTGTATTATAAAATCTTAATGATCTGTATCAACAACGACTCCCTCTTTTTCTCTAGAAGTAATATTGTTGATTACTCTTTACTGGTAGTTATTGATAAGAAGAACAAAACTGTCAGATTTGGGATAATTGACTATATCCAGCAATATACTATGGAGAAGATGGTGGAATCCAAATTCAAGGCTCTTATTGCTGCAGGAGACCTCCCAACAATTTTAGACCCAGCCCCTTACAAGACAAGGTTTCAAGAAGCAATGAAAAAGTATTTTATTGGAGTTTAAATATGCTAAATTCAAATTTAATCTTAAAAGATTCCTTATAAATCCAAGAGTTAAAAATAGACTAAGAAAATTTAGAATATTCTTCAAAGTCCTCTTTTTCTTCCCTAGATTTTAATGATTCACTTTCATGTATTTTATCCAACCAGATTCCTTTTGCTAATTTTCTGAGATCTCTTTAAAGCATAATGTACGAAAATTCTATTAAAACTATTAAATTAGGGGTTTTGGGGTTTTGGGGTTTTGGGGTTTTGGGG